AAATACAAGTGTAAAGGGTATTATAGCTACGTGCCGCTAAATTTAACCTTGTTTCTTGTTTCTTTTGAGGTTTCGCAAAAATTTATAATTTATTAACGAAAATATTCCAAAGTCTACGCCTACTTAAATGAAAACAAAAAGTTTCAATATTATCTAACTGATCTTTTTGCTATGGATTCATATTTTTTCTAAATAATCCTTACAATCCCATAATATTAAACTATTCAAGACATCAGTAGTATGACTATCACCTGTTAAATGTCTACAACAACATCTTTGATCTCCTCTTCAACTACGCCACTGAATATGTTGCAGAAACATCTCTCATTTAAGCGTATATGTATGCACAACAATGCAACTGCAACAGTGTCGAACGAACTGTTTGAGCAAAAAGTGTTGCATTTATGCTCCGACTGCCGATCATCGACACAGTGTGAGGAAAACTGCGGGGGCGGCGAACGGTGCTAGTGCGGGTATGCGCCGGCATTTGAATTTATAATTGTCGAAAGGTATAAAGTGGCAGTCGTTGAAGGAATGTCTGCCTGATATTTTGCCGGTTCGTTGACTAGTTGGTGTGTGGTGGCTGGCTGATAGTCTCACTACAATGTTGATCGTGTTGCTTCGGCACTCAGCTCGAACTAATGCAATGAAAGGGCCCACTGCAATCAAAGTGCAGCAAAAGGTAAGTAACAATATTAGTCGCTGTTTAAATAATAAGGTTTTTCTGTTGTTTTTTTTCATCAAATACGCGTGTCTGTTTGGTTTCGTCTTCTCATCGTAGACTCGTATACGCACAGCTCACTTCTTGTTATTATAATGCTTTGTTTGCACGAATAGTGCGAATAGTGGGGTATTTTTAATTCGTCGCACATGTGGTCGCAAACGTGGTGTTGCGTTTATAATTAAAACAATAGGTAGACTTCAACACAGTATTAAATATTAAAGAGTGGTGTTGCTTTTTGTATTAACGCACAATATAAATATTGAAGGCATTGCACTCCAAAAGGGTCAGCACAGCAAAATGGGGTTTTGTCAACACGCTTTGGCGCCCACAATGCTGCAATTACTCATTACTCATGTAATGAGTATACACATATGTACAAATGTATGTTTATTTGTATGTGATAAAAGTATTAAGTGAACTTAATTTACTTGTAGGCCCGCTTATCTATGCATGTATGCATAGACAAATAAAGCTTCATAATATAATTGTTTATCTATATGATAATATTAGCTCTGATTTGTAAAATAAGATGGAATTTTAAAAATGTTTGCACAAATATTACGACATATTAGTACTACGGTTTATTGCTTAATTTTATATAAAGATTGTTTGTTAGAGATAAAAATCTTCCAGCTGGTATGATCTGATCTAACAACTAAGAGAGAAAAATTGCATCATCAAAACATATGTACATGTTTTTGTTTTGATGATGCAATTGTTTTTTTGGAACTAAAGTATTTTTACTTATCATGTAATAACAAAAACACTAATATAAATTTGATTAATTTAATGAATTTGCATAATGGGTACTTTATTTAAAAAAAATGTGATACTTGACTACTGTAACACCAATATAACCTTACACGAAAATTACAGCCTGTCATATTCATTTTATGTAAATAAAATATTTGAAATGATTTTTCACTAATACAAACGTTTTAACTTATGCATTTCTATATCAAATTGTTTTGTTTTTTAAATACAACGATTTTTTAAGAATTTTGTGCTGGTGAAATGCGCTTTATGAGGTTATATCCACTTGTTAATTTCAAAAAATTGTTTTTGTTTGGAATATACATCGTATATAGGTATACCATATATGTATGTACATTATATTTGTGAATACTCTCCGAAAATTTTTAATTTGATCCGGAGTTTCGGAGATATCAGCGTATTTGTAAGCATTTTTTAACTTAGTGTAAGTGACCCCCGAAGGTTTAAACGGTTTTTTCTTGAAATGATGTTTTTAGAGTCAGTGAAGAAAATTTCTCCGAAACGGCTGGACTGTTCAACATGAAATTTTCACAGATCTTCTTAGTTATATTTGTCAGGTATTTATGATATGATTTCGATTTTTTAAGCCAGTCTGAAGTGTAAATTATTTTACAAAAAACTACTTTTTTTGAGATGCCGAGATTTTGTCAAACGTCAAGCTTTTGACTAGTCCGTCGATCATTATCTGTATTTATCTAGTGTTATAATAAATACTGTTGGTTTTTGTATTGAAGATGGAGATCGGCTACAGGATCAAAGTTTTCCAAAATTTTTCAAAATGAATCGCTGATTATTAAAGTACATTAAATTTTGTTAATGCAATTTTTTCATTCATTATTTTTGCATTCTGACACAATGATATTACAAATAATAAATTAATCGAAAAAATTAAAGCTTTAATGAATTGACCAAAGAATATTCGTATACCGATCGCCTAAAAACTTAATATTTGTTGAACAAACCGCCAGTAGTTAACATTATTTTGTTTCTTTTTACGATGAGGGTCACCGTTATAATAATCTTAGAAATACAGATAAGGCCTTGTCGATGGTGCTGTTATATTTTATAGGTAGTATAATTATTTATAATTGGATTTCCTTTAATAAATAAATAAATAAAACAAATCTCAGAAATCAATATATTTTAAGGAAATTATCCGCAATCATATTAAAAAATACCTACATAATATGTACATATGTACTGTATATTATCCAACAAAAAATGCTGTATACTATCCAGGAAAAAAAATTATATTGAGAATTTAATGAAACATTCGTAACACTACGGTACAATATAAAAAACAGTATAAATTATATGAGTAATAAATAACAGTAACAAAAGTTCCAAAAAACCATGTACTCACACATGCATATATACATATGTATACAAGTATATGCATACAAACATATGTGCATACGTGCAGGCATAGGGTTTTTTAATTTTGTATATCAAACTACGGAAACATCATCAGCATAAAAAATTAGTTGAAATAAATATTTAGTATGCAACATGCAAATTATCGTCTAAAAGAACCTACAAACATACGCACACACATGCCTTCATATGCACGTACATATGCACATACGTATGAGAAATGTACTTGGAATACACATCGGTACTTAATAGCGGTGGTTGCTTGACCAGCTTGACTTTGGAACTTTAGTGGTCTTGAATATTTAAGCTGTGCGCAGAGTCACTCAGAATGAGAATTCACTTCAAAGACACGCTGAATTATGCATTAAAGTATAATGTATAGACCTAACTATGTAAGTATTCATGTATATACATATATTCTGTATATATGTGAGTTAATACGCGCGGAGTTAAAGCGCTTAACAGTCATGCATATTTATGGTTTTTCGTATTACTTGTATTAGAAATATTCACATATATAAACGCTCGTATAAATTTTTGTATTCTCACAGAAATGGAGTAGTTCCATGCATTTTAGCAACTTTTTAAACTGAGAAATTAAGCTCTGAAATCAAAATAAACAAGAAAAAACGTTTACTTCGGCGGCACTGAAGCTATATTAAAATTACACCCTTCACAGGTGCATTTTTTATGACATAGAATAATATAAAAAGATCTTGATCTTGGTTTTGAGCTACATATATGCTATGGTGTTCCGATATTGGCAGTTTTAACAAATGAGCAGGTTCTTGGGGAGAAAGGGATGTATGGAAAATTTTAGATCGATATTTCAAAAACTAAAGGACGTTCCCGTATATACAGACAGACAGACGAACCGAGGAACAGACATACGGACATGACGAAATCGACTCAGTTCGACACGCTGATCATAGGGTTTACGTGGTTTCCTTCGGGATGTTACAAACTTCGTGACAAACTAATATACCCTGTTCAGGGTATAAAAGAGTTTTTGTTTTGGCAGTTTCGAATTTATGGGAGCTATAGCCACTAGTTAGCAATGCACATGTTGTAGCACTTTAGCTCGGCCAAAATCAGATTTTGAACAAAATATTACGAAATTTGGAAAGTAAAATTGGTAGATATAATCATATAAGATAAAAACTAAGGTGTTGTTTTTCCACACAACTAAACTGAGTACAAATAGAAAGAGCGCTTTTTAAGACTGCCTAGCTTACTTCTACTATTCTGCGGTGATTTAAAGAAAGTTTCCTCTCACAATGAATGAAAACAATTTGATAGTAGTTACTTACTAAGGCGAATTTATCAATTTTTAAGCCGTACTGTACTAACAATAGTTTGTTTTAGAATACCTTTATGCCACAAATAGCCTCGTAGCCTAACATTGCGGACAGAGAGATTTTAAATTTTTGTATGGCGTTTATAACCAAAGTTACAAATTTACAATTAAAAAGTTTAGAAGAACTTATAAAACCTTTCAAAAAATTTTTTTTTTTAATTTATATTTAAATTTATTAACTGCCAAGCATTTTTTTATAATTATACAAATAAATTAGACTCCAAATATTTACTAACTTAATACATACAAAATTTATTTATGCCTATTGTATAATTATGGCATTATTAATAATAAGCTTTTATAAATTTCTTTAAATTAATAAACTTGTCAAATTCCGACTCTGTCATATTCATTTTATTACGACTATGTGAAATTTTGTTAAAAAAAATTTGGAGCTATAGGTAAAATTCCATTTATATTAACGGCCCAATCATTAATTAACAGATTCGTAAATTGTCACAGAAATAAAAAATATTAAAATAAAAAAAAATTCGACGAAAAAAAGTGAAATGTGCAAGCGCCAGCTAAGTAAGTTTGGGCTGAGTTCAACAGAGCACACCAATATAACTTTCGAATTAGCCCGGGAATCTGACTAAAAACCATGGAATGCTGCAGCCTTTGACAAGGTGTACTTTTAAACTTGGTAAATTATACTTAGTCGAGTTCGGCCAATAAGAGTTATAAGTAAATATAGCATTTTTATCAAAACATACTTACTTCAATGCTTACTTTTTGCTGCGCAAACCTGTACGGCAAAGAAAACACGTTTTATTTAAATTTATTTTTGGTGTATTTCATGTTTTTGTTTTTTTTAATTAATTTTGTGGATTTCATTCTTTTCTTTGCTTTTCGTTAATTCTTATTTAGTGTTTTGTTTCGGTTTTTTTTATCTGTATTGTTTCACTTTGTTGTTGTTTGTTTTGGTTTTACTGAGTTTATGCGATTCATTGTATTAATCTAAATATATATAATATATAAGTTTATATATTTATGCTGTTTCAATGTTCAGCTTCAGCTTTTAGGCTTTATTGCGCCCGTGACACTTAATACCATTATCACTACCATCAAAGTTTCGACACATCTGCATCCAACGAACCACGCGTCTGCGTACATCCATGCGCGTAATACTTCTCGTATTCTCGTGCGCATGTATATATGAATCTATAAATGTACGTCTCTTAGAGGTTTCATATATATATTTTTTTCGTTTCAATTGATTTATTTTTAATATTCTTTGTATTGTTTTTTAATTTTATTTTTATTTTCTTTAACTTTAATTCTGCTTAAATAACAACTGTTTTTCATTATTTTAGTATTACTTTTAACGGCATTATATTACTCATATGTATGTGAGCTACATACATATGTATGGATGTATGTACATATTATATCTCAAACTCGACTTTTAGTGTTTTTGCAATGATTGACGCTTTTCTTTGTTTCTTTGATGAGTTGCGTTTAAAGAAAATATGCATAGGTAATTCTAATAAAAAACGTTCAACAATTAAATTAATAATCAAGCCATTTCTATTAATAGCCAGAATTAAATTACTCCACCGTACAGCTAAGGTACCCAATTAACTTATGATTTTAAATTTACAATTTATTTAATTGAAACAAGTCTAAATTTATTTATTCTAAAGTGTTCGAAAATAAATTCTAATAATGACATGCAAGCGCTTCTTTAAGTCTTAAAGTCTTGCCGCCGTTACTCGTTTATCGTACATGTAAATATATATTAATTTATGCATCCCGATTATTAAAAATTACTTTCACTCAAAGGGACAAAAGTGTGTTTGGCTCTTTAGCGCAAAGTGTGATCGCTTGTCGCCTTCTCGTTTCCATTTATTTTACGCGTAATTTTGATTCTCAAAGCAGTGATTTTCTTTAAATGTATTAATTATGTCAATGTCGCTAGTAGTGTGTACGTTAGTGATAATTTATATGTATGTATTAATGTTAGCATTTTTTGTAATGAAAACCTACTTTGCATTTCTAATTTAAGTACCGTTATTGAGCAAAATTCTATTTACTCGCATTATGTAATTCATATCTAATCATAATTATTACCACGCCCTGTTTAAGTAAGCATTTAAGAAGCTGTATATTTTTACTATAAAAAACATTGCAGTAAAATGGGCGAGGGAGTGAAGAACTAAGGCAGGAGTGTCACAGCGATTTTTCGCCTATACAGGGTTGAAAACAATGGGTTAAGGTGTAATGAGTAAACATAATGATTTAACAAGTTGCTCTAGGCATGTATGTATGTTCAATGAGGGAATGTACATATGTTGTGGCAGGATGTGGGACTTGGACTTCCAACTAGCTCCTTTACCAGGCATCTTCTTCCTAGTCTATAGTAGTCTATTTAAATCTAATTGTAATCTAGTTACATTTTAGTAAAACGTAATTTTAGCGATTTAAGTTTAGTTTGGCAACAGTTTTAAATGGTTTCAACCACTTCTTAGTCAATTTTATACCGCCTATTTTATATGACTTAATTGTTTTTCATTTGCTTTTTGTTGTTTTGGTTTTAGTGTTTAACCAACATGCATGCACATGTTTGTTTTTATGTTTCTTAGTTAGAAAGTGTATATAACTTTTGAAATTAACAAGTTTTAATGCATAGTAGTGTGAAGTACAGTTACTATATTAATTATGATGGGGGGAACTTTTTCACATTTTTCACATTTCCCCCCATCTTCATAGCATGACTAGTATAACTCCGATCGCGTCTTTGTTTAATTATCTCTCATTAAATTTGCTGAAATATTCGATTACAATCATCAACCCTTTGAAACCATAGAATCTTAAAGATACATAGAAAATTTTTTTGTTCTTTCAAAAACTACAAAATAAGCTCAGAAATACGGTAAATATATTTGTCTGTTGGTTCAGTATGCATGTATGTGTGTATGTATGTAGGTATGCTGTGTGTTTACTCACGTTTGTGATGGTTGATGAATATTTTTGTAGGTGAAATGAAAAGTCACTGGTGAAATATTTGCATGTAGGTTTGCATGTATATATAACTATATATGTATAAGTATGTTCTTAATGCGGCAAATTTTGTTGTTAATTTTCTCTCCATACTATACGTCTCAAATGTGGTTAAATATCAAAACTAAAAATGAAATGAAAGATTTATATACCCTATCGGCAGTTTGAAATATATGGATAAAGGTTTTAAATACAATAATAAAAACAACACAAATCAGTAATGATACTCATTATCATTAAACTATAGCAGACGCTTACGAGGAAATCGGTAATTCTTTAAAAATAAGTTTACACATAACCTCAAACTTTACATGACCTAAATGTTAGCTTTTATAATTACATGATTGCAAATAAAGCATTAAAAAATAATTGAATTAAGATTTGAATAAAAATTTCCTTTTTTATTTTGTAATCCCGAAAATCATTAATAAAAATAATTTTTAAATTTTTAATACCGAATACCGGATAAAATTGAGCCCCAAGCATTTTATATTTATATCTTATCAATTTTTAATGCTGATTATGGACTTAATTTAATTTCATCCAAAATGTTTGGAATATATATATGTATGTTAAGTAAAGATTGAAATTTAAAAATTTTCAATCTAAAGTTTTTAGTCAATCGTAAAAGTCAAAAATGTTAAATCTCAACGTATTGGAACAAAAATTAAAAATCTTAATAAAATTTGAAAATCTAATTTTTAAATCAAAAAATTCGCAATCGTGCATATACTTCATACATATGTGTTACATATGTTAACTTTATACAAAATATTTGATTAGTTTTTCGCAAGTTGCGCATATTCACATAATGTTATAAAACAAAACCGCAAACAGCTCGCTTATTTTCTGCTTGCAAATAAGTATAATATTAACCGAGTGTAAATATATATAAAAAAAAAAGTATTCCTGTTATTTGAGTCATTGCATCATTGCCTGCATATAATTTTGCAAATGGGAAAAGCTCTTAGTATTATACTCATTAGTGACTTGAAGAAAGGCCTGCATACAAAAACTAAGCTTATACGTACCAAAATGTGAATGTATGTATGAGTATGCATATTTTTGCAATCCAATGAAATAATTGTATGTGAGTGTTTGCGCTATGGCAGCCTGCAGCGTTAAATGTGTGCCTATATTTCGAAGTAGCATGTGAAGTATAACACTTATATTCACTGATGCTGTGATGATCTTCATTTGTGATGCCTTATTAGAAGGGTTTACGTGCTGCTGGTGGGGCTTTGTGTTAGGTTCTCTTAGTTAGTTTATTGGAAAAAATTCAATACATTTACAGTTGTTTGCTTTCACATTTTGAAATAATTCAACCTGAGTTATTTGTAATCAAATTATTACCATTTCTTAACGTTCTTAACGATTCCATGTAACGGTTCTCAAATATTTAATGCATGTGTACGTAATATAATTGTACGATTATCTTTTCATTGCATACCTGTGTGCCCGCTTTTCGAATATTTTTTAATTGGTTTACAATTTACTGTTTATCATTTATATTTTTTCTTTTTTAGTATTTGGTTGACAGTAACTTTACTAAAATTATTACTATGATTCTCTTCTTTACCTTCTTTTATTTTATTAAAGTTTTTTCATGTGCTTTTTTTATTTCATTTAATTCTTATATGTGTAGATGTGTATGAATGCTTTATTTGTATCGTTTTTGTTTTTGTTTTTGTGCTTACTTCACTGCTTCACGTTGAATTAAACTGACTTGTGCTGAAGATTTAACACTCAGCAAACATGATTGCTTGTTTTGGTAATCTTTTACTCTGCAACGTTTACTTCGTTTATTATGCATTTGTATTATTTTTTTAAAAAGTGCAAATATTATTTGGTTGTTGTTGTTTTTATATATTTTTTTACTTTGTGTTTTACTTTCATGGTTTACAATTGCATACTTTTCATTTAAAATTTACTTAATTTGCTTGTGACTCTTACTCTTGAAACACTCTTAATTGCATCGGTTGAATACTTATCAATAATACTTTTAGTTTATTGTGTACCCGCTCGTAAAATTGTAATTATTAATTATATGCAGTATATTTGCAAGTTCTCTCACTTAATTTCAAATAGTTCATTTTAAGGAGTTCTATAATTAAAAGTTACATTAAATTAATTTAACAAGTACTTGTGTGTGTGTGTATATATGTATATATATTTTTTTACTTTACATAAGCGTTTTAAAATAAATAAAAAATTTAACAATTGCTCTGAGTAAACTTAACAAAGTCCCAAATAAAGTCTACGATGTTTAGAAAATTTCACAACTTTCCATTATTTAACACACGAGCAGCATTGCTAAGCCGAACACAACATCGCAGCGATAGCCTTTCGATTTACTGAGAAATGAAATTTGTATGAACAACTGTCCACAAGATAGGATAATTGGCTGCAAGCCATTATAAAACCAGTTAAAAAAATTTAATATTTTTATTCTTACTGTGAATCACAATCCCTTGGAAGTAAAACTTTATTTAATTTTCGTTATATCAACATAGTTCAGCTCTTTTTATCTTATTTATATTTAATTGCTTTAATTTAGGGTGTTAAAGTTAGAAATATGTAAATCTTCCCTTTTTTATCTCTTTTCATTTCAAATTTTAATTTGAAAAAAAATTCTATTATTTCTTACTCCAATTTTGAAATTAAGAAATACGTTCTTAATTTTCAATCTCAAATAGCGGGGACATCAATTTCCAATTTTTCTTATTTAATTAAAATTACAGAAAATTAAATTTTCAAAAATTGAACATTAAATTTTCAAAAATTTAACATACAATTTTTAGTCCCAAAATCGGAATTAAAAGCTGAAAATATATATTTTAATCCAAATTTTTTCAATTAAAAAATTCACAACCCCGCGTATGTAGGCAAATGAAAAAATGTATTGGAAATCTCAGTTTACACCATTCGCTTGACTAATACCGATATAATTAATAAGTGCTGCTATCTACTCATAAGCAATATTGCTCGTGCGCTAAATAATGCCTTAGTAGCGAAATGTTTTTAGATTGCAAAGATTTTCCTGCACTCAAAACAGACATACGAAATTTTGTAACGTTGTATTTTCATTTACTTGGAATGTATGTATGTCTGTGTAAGTGTTAATGCATAATTTTTCTTTATTTATTTATTGCCTATACTATACTATATTGTTTTATAATGCTGCACCCGAATTTTCATTTATAAATTTTACTACGAACTAGTGTATGTTTGTGTTTCGTGTGTATTTGCTTGTGTCACTTTGTGCACTGCTGCAAGTAAATATGTCTTTATGTTTTATTTTTTCCACATTTCCATTTGCTATTTTACTTATGCGTCTCTCCTTAATTCTTATTTAATAATCATTCCTCGGTATACGCGTGTGTATATATGTAAGTTGATTTCCCCAAGTGATGTTCTTTAACGGTGCTTTTATAGATTTGCTGTTGTTTGTTGTAATAGTTCAAAAGAGGCCCGTATTTGGTTGTTGGGCACCGGCTGCGTATGCTTCCCATTCACAGTCACAGCCCTCTAAGCAGTCGGGACACTCAAGCTCACTGTCTTGTCAGTACAACCATGAAACTGGCACCCATTGTGGTGTAGTGTGTACACGCTCGATGGCCGCTTCTAGCGTGGCAATTGTTTCGCTTATATCGTTGTTTACGATTGTCAAATCGAAAAAGTGTCCATACAATTGACGTAACATATCGGACTCTTTTGCCAATCGCTCCAAACTGCCATCGTACTGCAATAGCAAATAGTAAAATAGAATATGAATTCTACATCAAATACAATTCATTGCAACTCACATCTGCAATATTTTGTAATGATGGCGCCGCAATAAACACTACATAGGGTGTAAATTCTGCCGTACGCAGAATTTTCAACGCCTGTGGCTCAACGTCCAATATGGCCATTTTACCTTCGGTGTGTATGCGACGTATGGTGTCCAGTTTGGTGCCGTACATGGCATCCTCGTGAGTACCTACAATATAAATTCCATATTTAACGATTTTATATACAGGTATATGCTCTTGAAGTTGTTTGGAACTTAAAAATCTAATGTAAATATTTACTATTTCCTTAAACAAAAATGTAAATTTCAGTCATGAAAAAAAACTTTGATCTAAAACGATTCGGGTGAACCTCAAATCCACTTTCAATGTAAACAAACTTAATACGTACCATACTCCAAATACTCATTCGCAGCAATGTCGGCCATCATCTCGTCGTGCGATACAAAGTAATAGCTGCGTCCATTCTCCTCCTCCGGTTTTGCAGGTCTCGTTGTATCTACAAGCATATCGAAATTTAATATACAATTTACGTTTTTATTTTTATACAAGTTGTACTCACGTGGTATGGGGTATGCATATTTATCGGGATACTTGGAAATTAGTGTATTCTTAATGTGACGGCGACCCACACCATGCGCACCAAGCAAAACCAACGTTTTCCGTTGAAAGTTTGGATCACCGACTAGCAGTAAAACAATGTTTATATGTAATTGAATAAAGTTTGTATATAAACCGTTAAAAGCAATGCATACCTGGCACTTTTACAACCTCTTCATATGTCACCACATCCAAGTTGTCAAATATGGCATTGTGTTTAGCTAAGTATTTGTCGCGACATTGTTTCTTCTTACGCCCGAAGATCGAACAATTTACTGTGAATAAAGAGAAGAGAATTAAAGCAATAGTTCAGCAAAGTTTGTAGGAAAATATAAAAGTCAAATTCAGGGAGTGTGTGTATTTCCCAAATAAGTTTCCATGCTGAAAAAATATTAGCCATGCATAATCATGCTTTAGTTTTTGTCAGCAGGCAATGCAATGTCCATAATTCTGTTTTGAAGCAAACATCAAAAATTACATATTTTTTAAATACAAACAAGCTCATTCTTGTACTTAAAGATCTTTCTAGGCCGCATTTCAAAACCAAGTTTCCGTTACGATCTTCGTTATTCTTATTTTAGATCCAAGCAATAAATTTTATTTCTGTGTTCGAATGGAATATGTTCTACACTCTCACACGCTTTAATCTGTAATACCTCTTTTCAAAAATTATATTCTGCAATAAATTATTAGCCGAGTTGTCTAATTTTCAGCACAAACACTTACACCCTACTTTAGCGCCAGTGGCGACCCTGAATTTTACCTCCTCTAAGGTAAAATCTAGGAAAATATTTTTTCTGGCAATATATATTCGCTTACTTTTTTCGTTTTTTTTCGAAATTTTTAATTTTTCATCTTAAATAGAAATAAATTATGTAATGGACCAGTATTTTATATAAATATATGATGGAAATTATTCGAGAAGATTACTTTTAAAGTTTTCAAAGGAAGAAATGCAAATTCTTAGCCCGTCTCTAGTCGACAATTCATATATAGAATAATTTCTCTCTTTCCTGTTTTGAAATATGCCAGTTGCCGGTTCGATTAGGTAAACTAGTTTCTGAATAAATGTTATAGTGACTATAATTATACCCTGAACAGGGTATACAAGTATAAAGTCTGCCATGATGTTTGTAACACCAAAAAGGAAACGTCAGAGACCCTATAAAGTATATATCCGTATACCATGTATATAAGCGATCAGCGTTACAAACTGAATCGATTTAGCCATGTCCGTTCGTCATACAAACTGAACGATCGAAAACAAGTATGGACAACTTTTTCGTTCGATTCGATTTCTTCACGAAATTTGGCTTAAGAAGAAATTGTTTAGATCGAGTCGACATAGCATATAGCTGCCATACAAACTGACCGATCACAGATCTCGTAAGGAATCCTTGTATTTGTGAAGGGTGTTATAACTACTTTGGAACAGCAGTTAATTTTTTTCTTGTTTTTTTTTTTTATGTTTCTGATTATGTTTTGAGTAACTTTAATGAAAAAGAACTATGTTTTCCACAATTTTAGTATCAAATAATGTTTAAACATTTAGGTATTGATTTGTGTTAATTACTGATAGTTATATTATATATTTAAGTTTCGAAATAGTTTTAGCAAAATATATGTGAATTTAAAATAAAGCCTATTTCATATTTGGTTATTCCATTATATTAAGAGTTTTTGTTTTTTACAACTCGCTTTAAATATTTACATGAATTTTGTCCATTTGCAGCATCTACTCTAATGAGGACCCTGACATAATAGCAAATTTAAACGAACTTTGGTATATATATATGTATATATTCAAGTAGATAATATATTCAAATAGAAGTTTGTGTTGATATTGAATTACCAATATTTAAAAATTTACTATTTTAATATTGAAAAAAATATTTTAAAATTCAACAAACTACTCATATACTTTTTTATCACTATAAACAAAGGCGTAGAATGAAAATTTATAGCATATAGCCATATATAAGGGCTAGTAAAATAAATGAAATTGCTTTAATAATCTGTATCTCGCGTTCTATATAGAAGGATAACATTTCGTACCAAAAAAAATTTTCACACAGTTTTGTGACTCTTTGACTCAGTATTGTTTTACCTCAGAGAGAATACCAGCAAAGACAAGATATGTCATATTTTTCAGCCAATCACACGTAATTCTCGTTTCGTCGATTCCGTTGCGGTAATTTGGATTTCCAAGATGCAACACGCTCTCGAAGGCCAATTGTCGAAGATATTGATAAAATGTTTTCATTATTATCGAGTATGAACCTGAACTGAACTGAAGCAACAAACCGTTTGAAACAATTTAAATAAGGCTGGATACAGTAAGAAACTCGATGTATGGGTGCCATACGAGTTAACGCAAAAACCCTTATGAACCGAATTTTCATCTGTATATCGCTACCGAATCTTAATTGACCAATTTCTAAAGCGGTTGGTTACTGGTAATGGCAACAAGTTTTCGAACATTATAGTGCATATTTGGCCTAAATGAGATCATTCTAACTGTGCTACATAAAATATTCAATTTAATGTAAAAAGTATGAATTTCCAATATTTCCAAATTTATTATAATAATATTTCCAAAATATTTATTATATAATATATCCAAGTCATACAAAATAAGTGATAAATACATAATTATTATGAGAATTAATTACTCTACAAGGAAGTTCAACCAGTAGTTAAGTTTTTAAATGGAATTCTAGGTGAAAGCATTGTACATAATGTTGCGTAACGACTTGAAAAACCGTTTTAATTGTAATTTATGGAACAACTAATATGCATGATTGGGTTGATTGTGTTGTGCACGGGAGAATACAAGTACTTAATAATTTTAGCCGGATAGATATTCCTCAACAATCTAGGTTATAACTATTTAGTAGCAGCCATTAGGATCTAAAATCATTGGGGATGGCTTTCGAGCGAAGCAACCAAATCGCAACTAAGTTGTGCTAGTTTACTTTAGGTATTTAGCTACTATAATTAAACACAAGGTGTAATCGGCTTAAAACCACACGAATCGTGAACAAGAGTAGCATATGCTTGCAAGTAACGCTTTTCTGAGAGGTGAAATTTATTTAATCAATCAACTATTGGAAAAATTTACTTTAAGTATTGTGCTAATATAAGAAATAGTGTGTGTGTGTGTGTGCGTTTGTGTGTGTTGGATTGATTTGGGCGGCACGTGAGTAATTGGTGTGTGAGAATTATTCAACTGGGGATAAGTTAGCGGTTGCATGGATGATTGTTTACGGTAACTACCTGTCGATCCATCACACCCATCGGCGTGGGCGGAACAGCCAGCGGCACCTTCTCCTGTTTATCATTATGGTTAATATGCGTTTTATTGTATTGTACATAACAATAACAATTTTTTTTTGTTTTTTGTTTTTATTTTGTATTATCAAAGATATGTTTATCACCAACATGACATCATCATTACAATGAGATCAAAATTGTAGGTATGTATGTGGATAAGAGAAGGGAGACAATCACAACATAACACAATTTGCAAGTTTAACTAGTAGGCATGATTGACTATACAATACATACATACATTTACATATATTACAATACAAATTAAATAGGGAAAATAAAAAGAACCGAAAAACTGAAAAACCAAAAATTTCCGTAGAAAATAATTAAAGGCATTGAATACTTCCACATCACATTGCAGTTAACAATTTGAATAGTCTTGTTGATTTTGCATTAATTTGCCTTTCACATATATGGCTTGGCCGTGGGTTGCACACGCCGCTGACATTTGGCACTTTTGTTATCGATTCGGTTTGTAAATAATAGCTCAAGTTGAATTACTCAATGCCGCATAATTAAAATTTTTGTTTTTGGTAACGAAAAACAATGCTTAAATTATAATAAGGAAAATAAATTGAATATATTTACTTTGACGCACACACGGGTTAAGGTAATGAAAACGAGTTCAAATACATTTTTCAACTACAGCATATACCATACATTTTATAGACGTACAATACTTTATACATATACCATACACATATAATATATTCGAGTATACATGTTATAGGTTAAATTTTACAATCAACAACCAATTACATTTAAGTTCCTCATTCCGGAGGAGGACACAATTAGAGAGTTTGGTAAGCGTGCTGTGTGTTAATTGTGTTATTGATTGCCACTCACCTTGTTCCTGTTTGGTCTTATCCGCAACATTACAAGCGATACGCCACTCTTGCAGCTCCGGCGATGGTATCAAACCGGCCGAACCACCAACTGTGTCTAATCGGGCCTGCCACCAGTGATGGTCGTCTTTGCTTATAATCTTATTAATGAGATAAATCAAATATAAATGAATAGATTAATCTAAGTTAGACAAATCAATTTAGCATGTACATATAAATATGTCTATGTGTATGTATGTATGTGTTTGCTGTATTAATAGAAGCACGATAATATTCTATTTCCATCATTGAATTTTGCGGTTGATGCCACACATTAAGTGCTCGGCACAAAGGATACAACCGAAAATTTGACTCTTCCTTAACCACTACCGTTAGTAAATCAACCGTGTGCTATGCAATGGCATACTCCTTAGTTATTATGTGTGTTAGCTAGTAGTTTGGCGTGTGAATGCACTCACCTGTAAAATATCACCGACTTGGAATGCGATGCCTGCCTGAGCACATGGTATAAGCTCATCATCTAAAGGATTATAATCGAATTGTGCACGCACAAATATCTGCAAATAAGAGGATAAAAATTAAATGTCGGTTTCATTTGGCCTTTGTGCTACATCTTTTTACGCCCACTAACTGCTAATGCCGCTGCACTGACTATGTTCGAAGAAAGCAGCAGCGCTACTTTGTAACTAAGTAAATGTTTGTGTGTGTGTGTGTGTGTGAAAATTTGGTGTTAAAGTATGAAAACGCGTTAAATTGAAACTTTGACAACTTCTGATTTGACGACCAGCTGTGATAGTGTGTTCATAATTGAAGGCAACAAAAAGCGTAATACGCCTTTGATCTTTAAGATTTCAAAAATTACTATGTATATATAATTGATTTTTCAAAGTAATCAGCATCACTTTTCAGACAAACTTTTGCAAAACTAATTCAAATTAAATCTCTCTCTAACTGAATAGCAATTAAATTTGGTGTCATTGCCGATGTTGCAATTACTAATTAAATAATTAAATTAGTAAAATTTTTTATTTAGACTTTTTATAATATTGTTGGCTTACTAAGCAAAAGTACTCAGTCCTTTTTGTAATCATTAGGCGATCATAAACCTACGAACTTTTGTAAGCAAGGAATAAATGGTGGTATTAATTCTTCTAACAGGGGCACACCTAGTCAGAAATTCTGAAAATCTTCATATCATCATTTTTGCATATTTCGACAGTTTATACCTTTAAAAATATTATACTAAAATTTAAATGAATATTTCAAATATATTTTGAGTTACAGCCTTCTAAAGCTCAGTTCAATAAGTTCTATCAGTTTATCTTTAAACGTTATGTTCTCAAAACCATATTTTTCAAATTTGCTTGAGTGTTTAGTCACAGACAAATAATCCGAGCTCTATAAAATTGTTTCTGCATGTTTTGTATATACAGGTTGGTTGAAAAGTTTCTGCTCTCTCAAATTTTTTTTCTCAAGTTGGTATATCTGTCGTGAGAACACATGCAAATTTACAAGTCATTTCGTCAATTAATTCTTTGTTTACAAGCCATTTGAAGTTGAGTATTTTTTTAATTTGGAAAAAATTGAATATCGCGCAGTGATTATATTCTTTATTTTGAAAGGTTCAAAAACAAAGAAAATTTATTAAACAATTTTGGGAAGTGTACAAGGAGTCCTCACCTTCAAAACCCACCATTGAATTTCGGGCTGGTGAATTTAAATGTGGTCGTACTAGGCTTGAAGACGATCCACGCGAAGGACGACCAAAATCCGCAACCACATCAGAAATCATTGAACAAGTTTATAAAATTTTTAGTGAAGATCAAGGTATCAAATACGAAAAAGCTGTTTGAAAAGTTGGTGCCGCACACGTTAACCATTCAACAAAAACTGGATCGAAAACAAATTTCTCAGCATAATTTGGAGCGTTTTAAGCAGAATTAACCCGAATTCTTGTGTCGGGTTATAACTATGGATGAGACTTGAATGTTCCGTTTCCATAACAGTCGGGTCTACGTAACCGGAACGGACTCGGATTTTTTCCGGCCAAGGACTGTCAACTCGACAAAATTCTGCCGCTACAACAACAACAAGACTTGGATGTACCACCATGATCCTAAATTAAAACAAAAACGTTTACAGTGGACTGAAGTTTGTTGTTCAGCTCCAAAGCAGGTGAAGTCAACAATCAGCAATACAGGTGATATTATCAGTTTTTTGTGGTGCAAAAGGAGTTTTGTTGATTGATTATCTGCAGAAAGGTAAAACAATCAACTCTGAATATTATTGCAGCTTTTTGGATCAGCTGGATGAAAAAATTCGTGAGAAAAGACCTGGTTTGCAGCACAAAAAAAAAATTGTTTTTCATTAAGACAATGCACGTGCTCACTAAGGTGTTTTAACAATGAGAAAATTCAACGAATTAAAGTACGAATTACTACCGCGACTATTAGCTCTGCAGAAACCTGAAACAATTCATTCGTGGAAAGCGTTTCTCGTCGAATGAAGAAACTATTACAGCCATAGACAGGAATTTTTCAGAGCTTCTGGAAAGTCATAATAGGGAAAGCATTAAATTATTGGTGGATCCTTGTAATGAGTGTATTGAAGTTAAGGGAGTTTATATTGAATAAAAAAATATATTTCGTACCAAAAACAGTATTTTTTCATTTCGAGCGCAGAAACTTTACAACCAACCTGTAGTTATTCAACATTTTGGTTTACAACTTTTTTTGTAAATGCCGCTATTTTGTCAATTTTTGATTCATTTTATTTTTCGACGCATTGTAACAATAAAATCTTGTAGTTTAACTTTTTTTAAGTTTTTATCCACGGAGAAGACCGGAATCACTGCAAAAGTCGGAGATCACGTCGACGTCATGAAAATTGTACTGGAGATTTTAACTAAACAGACCCACTCACTGTCCAAAATTTTCAAACAGAATGTTGGCATGGTAAAACGAAAATATTTTGCATTACTTGTTTGCAATGTTAAAGAATGTTTAAAACATTAGCAGATGATCTAAAACATAACATTTATATTTTTTAACTACCCAGTCCTTTTAGAGATATTAAAGAAAGCTAACCAATAAATGTTTGCAATTTATTAATTACAAATCCATTGCGTTTTCGAAAAGTGTATTTAGTGCCTGTTCTTCAAAATACGAGTACATATAGCAGTCTCTCGGTACATAATACCCGTTTACATAAGCAATTATAATAGAAATATCTACAATGATGTTGATTTTACTTACAAGTACTGGAGTTGGTCTTATCCTGAAAAGCTGCATTTGTATATGAGTGTAGAAATGTAAAAGTAATGTTAATGGAAAATATGAGAAACACATTATGAGAAATCAACTACAATTAATAGGAAATTCAATACCGAAAATAAAAGTTAACTAGTTAAATAATTATTCAATTAAAAGGATATTCGCCGATTTTCGTAAAAAAAGTGTAAATATGAAATCGTGCGCAAACTAATTCTTAAATACTTAAGTGCATTTAATTGCATTTCAATTCGTAAGTGTCGTTACTTTGTGGTATGTGATCGTTTAGTACATAATTGATATATATTTTTTTTTGATTTTTTTAATTTTACATGCGCTAAACTAAAAGAAATGGTAGCTATAGATTTTTTAAATACATAATTAAGTTTATTCATACCTCACAGGGTGGTGGAGCACTTCTATAAGAAGGAACTATTTTAAAGGTAACCGAACCACGCGCTTCACGCTGCAACAATAAAAAAGAGAGAAAGTAAGGAAATGAAGTAAGCATATAATTACTCATTACTTCGATTTATTCAACTATTATCACAGCATAAATAATTAAAAAATGGCATATATGTATGTGTGTTTGCATTGCACTCACCAGCATGCGTTGTAATTGGCCAACAGATTGATGTTGAACAGGCTGGCCATTAATTTCCCGTATCTCGTCGCCAACATGCAGCGTTGCCTGACGGTGTATCATGCCACCATGCATTATTCTAGCTACAATACAACGTCCATCTTCGGTCATTTTTAACGTTATGCCCTTAAGAAAAATATACAATTATAAAGTTAGTGCTGAGTAGTCACAATTGCTCAATGCTATAGACATATACCATATATGTGTGTTCTTTTACACACACACACACACACACACACACATGTTATGCACATAAATCTTATTAAGAGCCACATTCATAACTTTATATTTTAAATAGCAGAATTGTCACTGAGCACAGACGCTTTTAGCTGCGTGTGTTGCCTGTGAATGTTTGATTGTACTCACCATTGGCTCGTCGGTGTTCTTCTGGAATTGCACCAAACGCACTCTGGTTACATGCTGCAACTCGCCATTGTCGACATTATCGATTTCGTCGCCATTAATGTAGGGTACCATTGGTGGCGGTGTGACGCGTAGTGCCTCCTCACCGTAAACGTCTCGAGCAACAACATCGTGAGTGTGTAGCAGAGCCTGAAATGAAAAATGTAGAGAAAAACTTTATTAATAACATAACGACAAACCACACACGTACACACACTCAGCAACTTCTTCGCGGTGTAGCAAACTCTTGAAAAGTATATTCGAACACATACATATGTACGAGTATGTACTATCACTACGTTAGAAGATTCGTATATATTTATTTTGTATGTATGTTATGTTATGTTGTAGATTCCAGTGTCGAAAGTAGCTTCGAAAATGTGGTCAGCGGGTGCAATAAATATTATGTGGTTTATGTATATATGTACTACACCCAACTTTATCAATAAAACTGTCATTTATGCGCGGCAAGATAAGTATATGTGGGTAGGTATGCAAGTGCTCGCCTTAAATGATCACCACTGCGTATACGTAACGCATGAGTAGGCCACCTTGTGCTCACAACTATGTTAAGCCGCCAAATAAGCACTTTTGCAAAACTGTGTAGCCGTTTGATATTTTTTTCTGTTTTCATGTAGTCGGTATTATTTAGCATATTTCTAAAGAATGACCGCTGAAATCTTTCAATATCCAGAAAAAGAATATTTCATATTGTCATACTAATTTATAACTACCAACATTTAAATATTTACCTTCTTTTATTATTTTGCTGATTTTTTTTTTAATTAATAAAGTTTTACTTAAGTAACACAATTTCATGCCATATAAAATCAAAGTTTTCTACATTTAATGACGATATGTTTTTCTTTCGAAGATATTGTTGATGAAAATTCTCTGCCAAAGATATATAGCTATGATATACGAGATGGGTTAGACATGTTTTCAATTTCAAGGTGCTTACTACCTGTATTAAAATATAAGTATTTTAAAGCATTTTGGCACTCTGCGCTTTTATATGAGAAGCTAAAACGTATTTATTGTTTCTCTTTGTTTTCGCTGTTGAAAAAAATGTATCAAACAATTTGGCGATATACGTATGTAAATATTACTGAAATGGTGATAGACGAGTATACACTAAATAATAAAAACTCTTTATAAGTGATATAATATATACATTTCCGTTAACTCCTGCTGGAACGTAGATCCACAACAAAAGTATTAAAGTCATTTCGGTTACTTGAGAAAGTTGTTAAGTTATTCCAGTTGGTAATTGCGTTCCTTAGATCTGCATCAACCAAGCGCCGCCAAATGGTTTGCAGTCTCCCGCACCTTCTCGAGCCGTGCGGAATCTATCAAAGAGCATTTTGACATCCTTACGTAGGTAGAACGGAGTCACCAAACTTTTATAATTCTGCGAAGGCAGGAGTTGACGAAAGTTCAAAAGCGGTGCAAGTATTTTTAAAAACGGCAATACCGAACGCGCAAACACCTCAACAAATGAAAACGTTCAAAAAAATAATATAAGTTGCGTTGAGAAATCGTCAAATTATCATTAATTAAGTTTGCAGTGATTTAGACTACTTATTTGTTACATTTCAAAAAACTTTTTTTTTGTATGTTTGAGGAGACGTACCACGGTGAGGTTTGTTGCCGCAGCGTTTAATTTATTTCAGAAAAACGGCATGTTTTAAGGGCTTTTGGCAAGATGCGAATAATTTCTTTCGGAATAAATGTGACATTGTTATGGCACAATAGCTGTTAATCAATCCGAAAGACGCAGTTACCTCAATAGCCACTTCATTCCTCAAAACAGAGAGATCCTTCTATTGAGACAGTAGTTTTTAGAGTACGGAATATCTTTTGATAACTTTTTTTCTTTTCTCTATTCATTTAAAAGTTACCAAACTCCTTTATCTTTTCAGAAATTGCATTTTATGAACAATTACAGGAGTCGATTTATTTTAGGTTTTAATATTTTTGATATCAATGATCAGCGTGACGATGTCCGTCTATATATCATTATTTTCTAAGGCAATGCCGCAGAAATTCTTTATCCATACAAAGTAATCGATCAAAATCAAGATAAAGTTAACATATTTTATTGTTTTTATTATAAAAATAAATTGTTCAAATGTAAAATACGCTAAATTCGAACTCTGAAAAACCAAAACAAAGAGCCTAGCATATACGTACATACAAGTACATACATATGAAAAGCAGTCGTAATTCGGCACATAGTAACCCCATGTCACTAGAAATTTAGATAAACACTCGCATACCATGATATGGAAAGCAGAAAGCATTTCTTTAATTAAATTCACCAAGTTTCTTTAATGTTCTTATATAAAAAGTTAATGAATAATTCGTTTGAAAAACATCACAAATTTTAATTTTCTATATTTTGGCATTTTATTGTATTAAAGAAAGTAATAAAGCTTGCTCACAGTGTAAAACAAGCGAAGAAAGTTCTACGAAATTTTCTTCATTTCGCGAAGATGTAGTATAATTTCATTTGTTACATAATAAATACTTTAATGCGCACAAGGGTTAATTGGTGCAACATTTTGCGCATAACGGTCGACGCACAGTGAAGCAATAAAATATTTAAGAATCATATTAAAATTAACTTGACGACACAAAAAGCGTATAACTTGGAAACTTTGTTGTCAAAAATTTATAGGTTATATACACAAGCGAGCGACTTTCAATGCTACCACATTTTGGTTACACAAATTACATGTAATTTACAACATCGCATACAAAAATTGCGAACAAAATATGTGGAGCGGTGCCGCGGTTTCGCAACCATAACAAACGGTTTCTTCTTTTCTTTCGCTCTGTGGTTAAATATTAAATTATTAATTTCTTCAGACCTTTCAAATGCCTGTAACGGTTATTATTACACAGCAATCAGAGTTAAATTATGCCGCTATGGCATTTCGTGGGCGTTGGAAGGCTGCTCGGTGGAATATTTCTGGCAGATGGTATTCGTGTTCGGTGCTTGGTATGGTTAATGAATTATGGTCAATAACTGTTTGAATACGCTTTGTAATTAATTTGCGGTTTTGCTGTGTCACTCAGAGGCCAAAATGTGTGTGTGTTATGTGTATGCGGATGTATGCAGCCGCATATCGCATATCATACCCGAACAATATATGCCTCCACACTACATACTTTGGCCTGCATATGCAATACACGCAGGCAGCATGTATGTATGTGAGAGTACCGATATACATACACTCACTTTGTACAGATGTCTATCGCAGACAAGAAGCCAAGTCAGTTCAAGCAGTTGATGTCGGCACACAGCTACCATTCGCAATATGCGCTTTTCTTGCCGCAAGCATATTTCATTATTATTATTATTATTATTATTGCTCTTATCCCTGTCGTTTGTCGTACGTTTACCATTATTGCTATCGTTGCTAGAGCGCCGTTATCTATCTTTTTATACCTATCTACGTACGTGTGTACGCCTATATGCACCGTCATTCTTCCGTTCCAATCTGCTGCGTACGCACAGTTGTTTTGTGATTATACTACAAGAAATTTCAAGTGTTGTTTATATTGTGAATAAAAGGGAAAAAGGATTTTATTTTGTGCCTTTTAAAAAGGACTCGACCAGCTGCGACCATCAACAGCCATCCGAGTATGCCGCTGCTCGGCCACGCGCAAGATTTATACCGAGGCATACGCATACATATGCGGTTGAGGAGTTATGTGTGTGTATGCAAGCCGACATCAACAACAACATTCCTCCAGATGGCTAACAACAAAAGGTACAAGCACTCAGTCGACCCCCACTGTCATAAAGTCACCGCCAGCTCACGCCACTGGCACGCGCAGCGTTCTCAAAGCTTTCAGCTCTTAACGGCAGGCAGTCTAATGCCATCGCCAAGGAGCCGATATTTTATTTGCCTACGTTTGAAATCTGGCATGTGACCGGCATTTGCCATAAAATTCGTTTATTAAAACCTTTGACTGTGATACGAAAATTTGAATACTGATATACCACTGGCTCGCAAGCTGCGAAATCTCATTCAATCTCGAACTTTGTTTAGGTTGCCATGGTCAAGCAGTTTTATTGCTGGCGAAACAAATTATTTCATGGCAAACACTTGCGTGTGACATGATGAATTTTAATGATTCTCTATGAAAGCGAAAATGGGGGCATTGCGGAAGTTTAACAGAATGATGGTGCAACATTGCAGATGTGATTTAAGCAAGTTTCTCTATTATTGTTTAAGAATCATGTAAAACTTGTATTAGGAATTTGACATTTTGTAGGCGTACACATTCTATAGACATACATACATATGAACAACACGGCCATAAAATTCTGCTTGACTGTATATGTACATATATACATATGTATATTATAAAACACAAAATAAATTAGTTTCGAAAATTTTGTTTTTTATTAAAAAGAACTCATTTCCATTTGAAAATGAATGTATAGTAAATTTTAATCATTAATATGCATATATGCAGTTTAAAAATTTTTCGAATGAAAAAAGGATAGAAACAATATCTTGAAAAGCTTGCGGCCCATAGCTGTTGAAACGCTGCAGTAAATATTATTGTATTTTCGATCAACCTAATCTAATTGGAACCGATACAAAAAACTATTGCCAAAAATTCTAAGTCCGTTTCAATTTGAGTTTGATCAGTTAAAACGAACAGTAAACAAAATATGCGAAGATTGTAGCGTTGCTTTTGACAATAATTTTTGCTGAATTTTGTAAAGATATCTTGTCAAAAACAAAAAGAAATGTTTTCTATACAAGGATTGATTTTGGTCGATCAGTTTATATGACAGCTATATGCTATAGTGGTCCGATAACAGCGGTTTCAACAAATGAACAGCTTTTTGGGAAGAACATAATGTGTGCAGTAGGTATTTCAGATCGATACTTCATAAACTGAAGGACTAGTTCATGTATATACCGACAGATAGACGAACAGACAGACATGGCTAGATAGACTCAGCTCATCACGCAGATTAATTGTTTAGAGAGTCTGTGATATTTCTTTTTGGGTATTACCAACTTAGTGAACCCCTGTTCAGTGTAAAAAAAACAATATTCTTCAATTCAATGAATTCCTCTTCTTATTGAAGGTATGTCAAAATAGTACATGATCCTAGGCTA